CCCCCCCCCTTTTTGTCAACTTTCGTATCTAGGGCACCAAGCTACCCTTTCCCTTCCTCCTCTCCATTCTCCCCCCCTCTTCAAGTTAATTCCCACTTCCAATCTCAAGCACAAGGCAGCCTCAAGCTCTCCTGAGTCCTTTGTTGCATCCCCGACACATACCTACACACCCCCGGTCAGGTCAATCCGCGCGCAACTCTCCTCCCACCCCCACCACTTCAATCACCTTCTCGACCTATCTGTGTGTCCTCAGCCTTCAAGATGTCTACTGCCGTTGAAAACACCACCGACAACGTCGCCGCTACCCCCGCCGCCACCGCCCCGGAGGCGACCCCCAACGGCACGGCTCCTGCTCCTGCCCAGTCTACGGACGCGGCGGCCGCCAGTGCCGATGAAGGACGTCGGTTGTACATTGGGAACCTCGCTTATGCGACCACTGAGGGGGAGCTCAAGGAGTTCTTCCAGAACTACAAGATGTAAGTGTTGCTCCTTCCCTGGCCCTGTCACTTCCGTTTACCTGGCCTCTTCTTTCCCCTTGGTCTGAGCGGTCTCGATCCTCAACCCATGAATATTGCTCTGATCGCGAGGGAATAATCCCTGCATTCCTCTTGCGCTTACTGGGTCGTGTATTCGGTGATTGTCGCTGCGATTTGTGCCCGTCTTCGCTCGAGTGACGTCGATCTCAATCCCATTGCCTGCCTGATCAAACTTGATCGGACTTGTTGCACATCAATGCTAACCTACTTTTTCTCGCCTAGTGAGAGCGTCTCCATTCCCGTGAACCCCCGTACCAACCGCCCTGTTGGCTACGCCTTCGTGGACTTGGCCACTGCTCATGAGGCCACCGCTGCTATCGAGGAGCTGTCTGGAAAGGAAATCCTACAGCGCAAGGTCTCCGTTCAGCTTGCCCGCAAGCCTGAGCCCGCTGAGGCTAAGGCTGAGGGTGCCGCAAGTGGCGGTGAGGGTGCTAGCGGTGCTGAAGGCCGCAAGAGAGCTGGTGGTCGTGGCCGTGGCCGTGGCCGTGGCCGCGGTCGTGGTGGCCGTCTGCCCCGTGGAGGACGTTCGGTAAGTTTCATCTGCAGCTGGGTTTCTGTCACAGCCGTTCAGGCTAATATGTGCGTTCATGTAGCAGCCCCCCGCCCAGCCTGAGCAGGTCCCAGCGGAGCCCGTCAACGTTCCCGGTCAGGTTGCCCCCTTGACTGAGGTCACCAACCAGAACGAGACTGTTGCTACTCCTGAGGCTGGCAAGCAGGCTGGTAAGCCCCGTGCTCCTCGTGCCCAGAAGCAGCGTGGTCCTCCTGAGGATGGAATCCCCTCCAAGACCAAGGTCATGGTTGCTAACCTCCCTTATGATTTGAGCGAGGACAAGGTATGAACTAAAGCCTCATTTGGGTATGCCATAACTGACAAGCCTCTAGCTCAAGGAGATCTTCGCCGACTACCAGCCTGTTTCCGCCAAGATTGCCCTGCGTCCCATTCCTCGCTTCATGATCAAGAAGCTCCAGGCTCGTAACGAGCGCCGCAAGGGTCGTGGCTTCGGTTTCGTCACCCTTGGCTCCGAAGAGCTTCAGGAGAAGGCTGTGAACGAGATGAACGGCAAGGAGATCGAAGGCCGTGAGATTGCCGTCAAGGTGGCCATCGACAGCCCTGGCAAGGAAGACGAGGCTGTCCCGGTGGCTGAGAAGACCGAGGAGGCCACCGAGGCTCCAGCTCAGGAGAACGCCGCTCCGGCTGCTGAGTAAATGACAAGTTTCGTTCCCCACCTGAACGAGTGATCCCTGATTGAATAATCAACTGGGGAATGAATCGAGGTGACGACAGAGTCGGGACCCGTCATCTGGGGGAGGTTTGAGTCGTGGTCGTTCGTCAGGCGGCGGGTCTCGTCTTTCTTCCAGTCGGGGGTTGCGACGGAAGACGAGGTCCCCGGCGAAAACGTTCTACTGAAAAGTTGTGGGCGATTTTCATCCTGATTGAACTGGTCTACGCGGGAGGAGTGTTCTTTCTATCGTTTCTTTCCAATTACTTATCTTGCGTCTTTCTATATACGGATTCCCGAAAAGGCTCCGTACGATGAGAGATGGAAACCCCCCGTAATGTGTGGTGGTGACGGACGAACCTGGCTTTTGTTCACGAATCTTGCTCTCTTGTGCTCTCCTGTATCTTAGCCCCCTATTTATTGAAATGATGATTAGCCGCAAGGCTGGCCTTGTAATGATGATTTCTTTCTAGCTTGCTTCCTGGTTAATGAGGGTAGAGTGGTTTGGACTGTGATGACACCCAAGCCTCATGAAGATTGATTGTCAGAAGATGCATATAGACCATCATAGAAATACATCAATTGTGTTGAGAGTAGCAAAGATCGGTATTTACTGTAGAGAGAATGGTGGATGGTGGCGAGACGCAACAACCGCAGCAGCAGCAGCAGCAGGACCCCCGCCGGTCGGCTGCTCCCTCCCTCCCCGTCGCGGCTGCACCACCTCTCTCTCCCTTCCACACCCACACCAACACAAACAAAGCAAAGGCAATCGATCTTTCTATCTCCCCCCCTGATTCACCATCAACACCCGCGCTCAGTCCGTACCTTGATCCGTGTGCACTTGAGCTGTCATGTCTCGCATGTGGGAGGTTGATCCGGAGACGAGGGCCAAGGTGAGCGACTCCTCTTGCCTTGCTATTGCTACACTGCTATTGTCCCCCCCTCCCCCCCCTCCCC